GCAGAGCAAGCCCGTCAGGGGCGGCGTCCCCCACTGCGCCGCCCTGGGCCAGCGGGAGGGCTGAGCTCGCCGGGGCTCGCCCCCCGCCCGGCCCGTTTTTCGGTTTATTGTGGAGTGGCGGCCTCCTCCAGTTGCTGGCCTCGAACCCCTGGACTCAGGCAGTCCTCTCCCTTCCGCCTCAAAAGTGCTGGGATGACGGACCTGAGCCCCCGCGCCCAGCTAGAATGATATGATTCTGTCCGTTGAAATGAGTTGATACAACTTTCACTTTAGCCAGATCCTTTGCAAGCTGCTTTTTGTTTGGTTTTTTGTGAGTCGGGGGTCTCACTCCATCGACCAGGCTGGAGTGCAGTGGCACGCTCACGGCCACCCCAGTGTCCACCTGCTGGGCTCCAGCCTCAGCCTTCCAAGTAGCCAGAACGACCGGCGCACACTACCACACCCGGCTAATTTTTCGATTTATTGTTGAGACAAGGTCTCGCCATGTTGCCCAGGCTGGTCTCGAACCTGCGTGCTCAGGCAGTCCTCTGGCTCCGGCCTCCCAAAGTGCTGGGATGACAGGCTTGAGCCACCGCACCCAGCCAAAATGTGTTTTAAGAATCTTCTATTTATTCCAGTATATTCAAAATACTATCATTTCAGCATGTCCTCAAAATTAAAATGATTGCGAGATCGTGGAGGGACAGAGGGGACAATGTCTTCTGGCTCTCTTCTGGGGCCGACGGCTGCCCAGGAAGATGCTGCAGGCAGGGGTGGCCCTGGTGGAGCTCAGAGCCGGTGTGCGCAGGACCGCCCGGGCGGGACCGGGGTGCGCCAGAACCACCCAGAATCCCGGTCTCCTGTGAGGAGGGGACCCTGCGCTGGGGGCCCTGCCTGTGGCCGGGAGGGCTGGGCAAAAGCCTGACAGCGAGCGTGAGGGCCTCTGGGAAGGCATGGCCCTTCGGGGTTCTTGGCAGCAAAGCGCCTGGCACAGGGGTGCAGTCTGTGGAGAGTTCAGCGTGAGTTGCCGGGGCGGATGGGCCACCCACGTGACCAGAGGTGGTCACGAGGACAACGGGCTGCAAAGTCGCATCGCTTTTGTTCCTGCCGGAGAGCCAGTGCTGTGTTAAGACAACATGCAAGTAAAAACGGCACATCCGGCCGGGCGCA